ATTACTGCAAGGTCTGACAAATATGTTTAGTGGAGAATGGAAGTCTATGGATTTTACTACAGGCTACACAGTCTGAACTTCTGATGGGAAGTCAATTTGATCAAGCTCAGTCTCATAGGAAAGCACAAAGCAAGCATGTCTTCCCAGGGCTCTGCACAATCCACTGTATGCTCTAAGCAGTAGGCTGTAAGCTTTCTCTCCTATGAGGAAAGGCTGAGTGAACTGGGTCTGTTCAGCCTTGAGAAAAGAAGACTGAGAGGGGACCTGATCCAGGTCTATAAATATCTAAGGTGTGGGGGGCAGAATGGCGAGGCCAGACTGTTTTCAGTGGTGAGTGGAGACAGGACAAGGGGAAATGGCCGGAAACTGCAGCATAGGAAGTTCTGCACAAATGTGCGCAAGAACTTCTTTACAGTGAGGTGACGGAGCACTGGAACAGGCTGCCCAGGGAGGTGGTGGAGTCTCCTTCTCTGGAGATGTTCAAGACCTGCCTGGATGCCTACCTGTGCGACCTGCTGTAGGGAACCTGCTTTGGCAGGAGGGTTGGACTCGATGATCTCTGGAGGTCCCTTCCAACCCCTACAATTCTGTGATTCTGTGATTCAAGCTCCCCCCCTTTCTCTGGTTCAGGGAAATCTTGAAATGTTTCTTGTGAAGTAGAACAGCTGCAGCAAGAGGGCTGGTAGCCTGATGGTTGAGGGTATGAGCCAAAAAAGAGGAACATATGGGCTGGAACTCTCATACAGTGCAGACGATAGAGAATTTTGATTTTCTAATTCTGAGCCAGTCTCCTACCCACTAGATGGAAGCAGGCACACTAGTTCTCCAACTTTCTTTTCTTTCTTCCTTAAAAAAAATAATAATAATAAAAAAATCATTATAATCTACTATTTCATTATGTCACAAAGCTCCATCTGGTGAATGTATCACTACCCTTAGTAAAAACTAAATGACCTGAACATGTCTAAAGCCACCAGGGGAACTGTTTCGGGTGGGGCTGCATCAATGTAGGCATGCACCTGTGTTAATTTTACCTCCCAGCATAGCCAAAGTCTGAAAATAAGCTACAATATCAAATGAAATAAAGATCCTATGACTTTTCTATTTTCTGCATCCATCGTAATATGTAGCAGGTGCATTTATACATATATACACATATGTGTGTGTGCATGTATATGTATACACACATATTTATATCTCCCATGGAACAAGAACATGGAGCACTATTGGAACAAACTACCCAGAGATGTTGTGGAGTCTCCTTATCTGAAGATATTCCAAACCCACCAGGATGCTTTCCTGTGCAACCTACTCTGGGAACCTATATTTGCAGGAAGATTGGATTAAATCATCTCCAGAGGTCCCTTCTAACTCCTACAATTCGGTGATCACCAAATTAAAATACTGCAAGCAGGTTATCTACAGTAGTAATTTTTGTTCTGTAGATACTTTACAGGTGCTCTGAGTCCTGCTTTGCAAAATCTGCAATGTTAGATGAGACAATTGTTTTTTTTTTAACATGGTTCCATATAGCATAAATAAGCCCTTAACCAATTTTACAATGTTACTACTGCATAGTCATAACAACAGGGAGATGAAAGACTACCAGCTGGGAAAAATGTAAATGTATCCCAGTACATTTGCTTATTTGAAGATATTTTCCATATTAGGAGTTAAAACATTCCTATTCTGAAGGCAGCAGTGATGCTGGAGTCAATTTGTTTGTGTTTGGTTAAGCACAGAATTTTAATCCCTGAAGAAATGTGTAAGTGGGAAGCTTACTACTATGCATTTCTAGAAGCTGCAAAGGAAAGCGGGAGGTGAAAGGCATCAGATAAGGAAAGGAGTCAAGGAAGATAGAACTGTCCTTGTGTGCTCTTTCCCCCTTCTAATACACTGGATAATTTGAAACAGATAATGTGATCTCTGATTGTTCAGCCTGTGTTTTTAAAAATGGGATGCTTATACTGAATTTTAAAGACCCAGATTCATTGGTCCTTCAGTGCTGTAGGATCTCTCACTTTACAGCGCTGTCTAAATAGAAGAGTAAAACATCTTAGCTTGAGAGGCCCTGATGCAGAAGCAGACATTTCCTTAAAATACTTAGAGGCATGGCTTTTCTCCTGATACATGTTTCCATACTTAATAGAAGAAGATGAAGAAATCTGGAAATTTAGGATTATGGAGTAAACTGAGTAATGACAGATTGATTTCATGGCCCTGACAGACCTTTTGCAAGAACTTGACTTACAGAACCAAAGCTTCAGATACTGAATATGAAATGGATTATACCCTTTCTATTCCCCTCTGACTTGTCTTCTAGAGGTTAACTTTTACATGGCAGATGTACTCCAAACAATACATAACATATGTATAGGTCTTTCTTTACAGCTTCAAAGTATACAGCTGCAAGCACAACAGGTTGCATATCCAAATACTTTCTGTTGGAAATTACGTATTGCCTGTAAATAGGCAACAAGTTAGGTCTTCTTGTAACTTATTCATTTTTTTTTCCTTCTTTTTTCTCCTTGAAATTCCATTTGTTTGGCTCCCACTAGTTCCCACCTCTCAGCAGACACCTTGGAAGAAGCATGTTATTTGTCCTTCATGCTTTGACAACAGGTCGTTGTCTCCTTCCTCTTTTTTTTTTTTTTTTAATTATTCATACTTATTTATTTAATATCTCATTAACTTTCAGCTTTTCTGGTTGCATTTTGATCATTTTTATGGTGCCTGAGCAATTTTAATAACACGAGGGTAAAGACGCTAAGAAGCTTTATTCTCCAGATCTTTAGTCCTCCTGCCACACATCCCAGTAAGCATTCGCCAGGCTCCAACGTATCTGTGCTCCCTGTCCTGTGTCTTTACTCATGGAGATCGGGTCGCTGCTGCTGACAACACAAGTGGGTCCCCTATTCCAAACCTGTTCCTACCTCTGCTCCTTTTTCCTGACTCTCCCACCTCCTTCCAAGGACTCAATGGGGGCTGTCCTGCCTCCAGCTGCCCCTACACTTGGACGCAGAGATTCTTGATGCACGGAAGGTTTGCAGGCAGCCCCGAGTCCTCCCAGTCCCGGCATGCACTGAGAGGCAAAGTCAGAGACGGTGACAGGAGAAATGAATTAATGCGCCTCATCGTGGCGCCAAGTTTCCTTCCCCTCTTTTTTCTCCTAATGAAACCACTAATATATTTATTGTCATGCTTTCTCTCTCGGCGGCATTTTATCTCTTCTAGACTTCTTTGTAATTTTTTGGGCGGACGTTTTCAGGACCAGAATTTCTCTGTTTCTCTCTCTCTCTCTCTCTCTTCTTTTTTTTAATCTGTTTTCCCTCTCCTGCCCGGTTCCACTCCCTACCCTACCCCCTACCCCTAGCTTCCTCCCACCCTCTGCAATCCTCGCCTACCGCATCCACCAGAAAGGCCAAACCTTCATCTTGGGGACCTGAAACAGCTGCGTTGTAACTTGTCTGCAGTCTAATTACATTAATTTGATAAGATCATCGTCGGCAGGATGTCTAATTCACTTGGAAGAGGCAGACGGGGAAAAAAAGCTTTGACCAAATTAGCATGCCGCCGGGACCAGGGGTGCGGGCTGCACCTGGATTCCCCTATAAATAACCCTCCTTCTCCCCCCCCTCCCCCGCGCTGACTTCTCCCCCCTTTCTGCCTGCCGCAAAGTTCACCGGCACGCCGGCCGAGAGCAGTGGGGCCACGGAGTGCGGGATGCATCGGCCGGGCCTCCCCACCCGCTCCCGCCTCCTCCTCCTCCTCCTCCTCTTCCTCCTCCTCTGCCTCGACGCGGTTTCCAAGGATGGGGGGAGCTCCGCGTTTCACTCGCACCACCAGAGGTGCAACTGGTCCTTCGCTCGCAGGCATCTGAAACGCGTCCAAATGATGCAGAAACTTTTGTGTGCTTGGCTTCTGTCTGTAAGGCCAGGCACCGATTTTTCCGCTGTGTAATCTCTTTTGTCAGAAGGGTGGGAGGGAAGGGCTGCGGGGGGTGGGGTGGCAGTGGGGGTGGGGAGCAGCCGTTGTGCTTCCACGGTGCGGGTATTGAGAGCATCCCTAGGGAAATAGCCATGCATGCACATACGTGCTTACCTAGATTTATCTGTGTGTAGATGAGAATGTCAAAATGCACAGCTGTCAGTTTCACCCCTCTCCTCCTCTCCTTAAGGGAGACGCTGTACTCCGTAGGTGCACTGAATTGCTAACAGTGCAGCAATCCCCTCCTCCCTATCCTTTTTTCTTCTCTCATCATCTGAATTTTATATATATATATATGTATGTATATATAATGCAGTAATCCACGCTTCTTCATTATATAGAGAACTCCAACAAGAGACTAAACCCAGCATGAAATACTGTAGATTGCAGGGGAGGAAGAAATGCATTTAAAGCAACGATAAAAATGGCGTGCAGAATAATTACCTCAAATTGCTACTCGCTTGACACCCTGACACTAATTCTGCTCAAGTCATTGGGAAATACAATAAGGCAAAAACACCTACCTCGCCTGCTTGTGCAGGTATGTCCGTGTGGATGGGGGCAACAGGGAACTGGTCTGGAGTGGGGGGACGCTAAACTTCCCATCTTAAAAGGAAATAAATAAATTAAATAATCAGTTTAAGAAAGAGCATCTAAATAGATCGGCAGTTTTTTTACGCCAACATTTTAATGCTTGCCATGTACGTGAATTGATTTTTTTTTTTTTTCCAGCATTCCCTCAGCAGATGGATTTTTGCCACTGCAGCTCAGCAGAGGGTGTCAGATCTTTCAGAGTGCACCAGGCTGAAACGAGCAGAGCCTCTTAGCAACTCTCCCTCTGCGTGCATGTGAGTGTGTGCGAGCGTGCGACTCGGCAGCAGCAGAAGAAAAAGGAAAGAAGAGCGAGCGAGCGAGGGAGCGAGCGAGGAGGGGAGGCAGCGCGGCCGGCGGGGCGAGGCGCGGGCGTGCGGGCGGGCGGGCGTGCGGGCGGGCGGCATCATGGGCAACAGCGCTCCGCAGCGGGGGCAGGCGCCGCGGAACGCCGGGGGCTCGGCGGCCAGCGCCTAGATTGGGGCGCGCTTTCAGCACCGGGGCGCTGGACAGCGCCCGGCGGGCGGCGGGCGAGGAGCGCGGCTCCGCGGCAAGGTCAGTCCGGCGCGGAGCCGCGCACAGCAGCAGCCTCCGCGGGCACCGCTGCGCGCTCCGCCTGCTCCTCTCGACCATGCAGCGGCGGCTGGCGGCAAGCACCGCTCCCGTGCTGGTGAGACAGCCCGGCCCGCAGACCTCCGCTTAGCTGCCCGGGAAGCGTCAGGGAGAGGGATCGAGGAGAAGGAATTTTTTTCCTTCCACTTTTTTTTTTTTTTTTTTTTTTTTTTTTTTTTTTTGCGTGCCTTGCAGTACGTGCCTGGAGAGTTTGTGGATATAATTATTGACTGGAATCTGGGCTGCTGCAGATGTATGTGGGGGGGGGGAGAGAGGAGAAAAGAAAGAGTTCCCCCCCCTCTCCACCGACCCTCCCTGCTTCCCCTCCCCACATTTTTTCCCCCTTTGGTGTTGGTTTGGACATTTTGTATTGAATGAACTGGAATTGCTTTCCGTGTGAGAAGGATGGTTGCTGTTACTTTGTGATGAGATCGGGAATGAATTGCTCGGTTTAAAAATGCTGCTTTGGATTCTGTTGCTGGAGACGTCTCTTTGTTTTGCTGCTGGAAACGTTACAGGGGACGTTTGCAAAGAGAAGATCTGTGCCTGCAACGAGATAGAAGGGGATTTGCACGTAGACTGTGAGAAAAAGGGATTTACCAGCCTGCAACATTTCACCGCCCCAACTTCCCAGTTTTACCATTTATTCCTGCATGGAAATTCCCTGACTCGACTTTTCCCTAATGAGTTTGCTAACTTTTACAATGCAGTCAGTTTGCACATGGAAAACAATGGTTTGCATGAGATTGTTCCTGGGGCTTTCCTGGGGCTGCAGCTGGTGAAACGCTTGCACATAAACAACAACAAGATCAAATCATTCAGGAAGCAGACTTTCCTGGGGCTGGACGATCTGGAATACCTCCAGGCAGATTTTAATCTATTGCGGGATATTGACCCAGGAGCATTTAGGGACTTAAACAAACTAGAGGTGCTGATTTTAAATGACAATCTTATCAGTACCTTGCCCCCCAACGTGTTTCAGTATGTGCCGATCACCCACCTCGACCTCCGGGGAAACCGTCTTAAAACCTTGCCTTATGAGGAGGTTCTGGAGCAGATCCCAGGCATTGCTGAAATCCTGCTAGAGGATAACCCCTGGGACTGTACTTGCGATCTGCTGTCATTGAAGGAATGGCTGGAAAACATACCCAAAAATGCTTTGATCGGCAGAGTGATTTGTGAAGCTCCCACTAGGTTGCAGGGCAAAGATTTAAATGAGACCACTGAGCAAGAGCTGTGCAAAAAGAACAGAGTGGATTCTAGTCTAGCTGCTCCCCCTGCTGAAGAAGAAACCTGTGATCCTGGTCCCATTCCAACCCCCTTTAAAATACATGGCAAAGAAGACCCTGCCACACCAGGATCTGGTCCAAACGGAGGTACAAAGATTCCTGTCAACTGGCAAATCAAAACTAGACCCACTGCTGCTGTGTCAACTGTTAGTGTGAAGAGCAAGCAACCAGCTATCTTGTCCTGCCCTCAGATCTGCAGCTGTGATCAGATCCCTGGATCAGGATTAAAGGTTAATTGCAATGACAGGAATGTAAGCAGCCTGGTGGATTTGAAGCCTAAGCCGTCCAATGTGCAGGAGCTGTTTTTGAGAGACAACAAAATACACACCATCAGGAAATCCCACTTTCTGGATTACCGAAAACTTAATTTACTTGATCTGGGAAACAACAACATAGCCACTGTTGAGAACAACACCTTCAAGAACCTCTTTGATCTCCGATGGCTGTACATGGATAGCAACTACTTAGATACCCTCTCTCGGGAGAAATTCACTGGGCTGCAAAACCTGGAGTATCTGAATGTGGAGTTTAATGGGATCCAACTGATCATGCCCGGCACCTTCAATGCAATGCCCAAACTCAGAGTTCTCATCCTCAACAACAACTTATTGAGGTCTCTCCCAGTTGATGTGTTCGCCGGGGTCTCACTTTCCAAACTCAGCATACACAACAATTATTTCATGTACCTCCCAGTGGCAGGGGTGCTGGACCAGCTCACCTCCATCACCCAGATCGACTTGCACGGCAACCCATGGGACTGTACTTGCCCTATCGTGCCTTTCAAACAGTGGGCGGAAATGCTGCGCCCCAAAGTGATAATGAGTGACCTGAGGTGCGAGTCTCCAGAAGATTTCTTCAAGGAGGATTTTGAGTCCCTCTCCAATGACGTGATTTGCCCTCAGCTAAAAATATTGCCCACCTTAAGTTCTACCAACAAAAACAGCACTGGGGTTGCAGAGACAGGTACTCACTCCAACTCCTACTTGGAGACCAGCCGGGTCTCCATTTCGGTGCTAGTGCCAGGGCTGCTGCTGGTTTTTGTGACCTCTGCTTTCACAGTGGTTGGCATGCTGGTATTCATCCTAAGGAACAGAAAACGGTCCAAGAGGAGGGATGCCAACTCATCTGCATCTGAGATCAACTCCTTGCAGACTGTTTGTGACTCATCCTACTGGCACAACGGGCCCTACAGCACCGATGGGGCCCACAGGGTTTATGACTGTGGTTCCCACTCCCTGTCGGACTGAGGAGGTGGGTGGGGCGGAGGTGGCTGCTGCCCAGGCTGACCCTGCGCTATCCCAGTGATGGAGAGGCAAATGCCAGCAGGGACGGCTCTGCACCTCAGCTACCTTTTGTGAGAAATGAAAAACACTTGCGCACTCCCCTGCGGCCCCCAGAGCAAGAGCCTTGCTCAGTACGTGTGGGGGGAGCCCGGCGGAGGGGCACGTCTCCCTACCAAGCGCTGCCGGGATGGCAATGGACGAGCAAGGACCTGCTTCCTTTGGCTCCAGCAGGGCGAACCATGGCTCTTGGTTTTATTGGGCTTTTGTTCTGTTGTGTTGGGGGTTGTTTTGCTTTTTTGCCCTCTTCCCTTTTGGATGGACCCCTCCCTCCCTTGAGAGGCCAGGAAGATGAGGGGGACGTAGGAAAGGCTGCTGTCAGCCTCCTCCTGACAAAACAGGAGTAGAAAGTTGCACGAAGGCATGAATGTAATGTAAATAAATGACTGACTCTGAAACAGACAAATGAAAAAAAAAAAAAAAAAAAGAAAATTTAAAAAAAAACAACTGCTGCATGGCTCGCATGGATACAACGCACCCCAGGGACGCTCCAGCCTGCAACTGGAAGCAGCGTCTAGTTCACACCATCATCCCTCTTACCTGATAAGTCCCTTCGTATCAAACCTTCTATATAAGAAATACAGTATAATAATAAAAGTGCCATTTCGCCTTTTTTTTTTTTTTTTTTTTTTTTTTTTTGTGTGTGTGTGATCAATAGGCAGTAGAGATCGTACTTTTACTGTGGGGAAAAAAAAACAAAAAAACAAAAAAACAACATGTAAAGGTTTTATTTAATACATAGTTGCATGAATATTCTCATTTGATTTTTTTTTTTTTTTTTCTTGATGTGGGAATGGCTTTTCTTGGGAGATGTTTTCTTTCTCAATGGTGATCTTTAGTTCTTTTAGAGGGAGGGGTATGGAGGGAGGGGAAGCTTTGGCTTTGTTTTCTCTCTCTTCCTTTTCAGTATACATATTCAGTACTGCCTTTCCATTTGAATGTAAAAATTAGTACCCTTGATTTCTATTATGGTAATAGTGTAAACATTAAAAAAAAAAAAAAATCAAGGCAGTTAAGCATGACCAATTAATGTCACTCTAGTACTTAGGCTGCAGAGTTTAATGGTAGAAAAATCTGTGCTGTTGTAAATCTTACTATAACTTGAGGAAATTAGAACTGAGGAAGCAAGTAAAACTTACTAATTCTACTTGAGGTTTTATAATGGCATATTTTTTCAGTATTAAAGTGAAAATGTTTTCAACTCTGGGTCCTTACCATTTTTCCAGCATCAGTTCTTGCAAGTGGGTTATTTGGGTTTAGGGGATAGAGCTTCCTTTCAGTGATATGTTTCTTCCTCCATCTCTCCACATCCAGCCCCCCTGCTTTCCTCTCTCCCTCTCTTCCTCTTTCTCATTCATTCACGTGCAGCGTCACAAACAGTCTTCCCCAATGTAAATAACACACACAGGTTTCTTGTCTCCCTTACTCCCTCCCACCCTAACCCTCTTTCCTCTCTCTCTCGTAATGCGGCAGTGAATCCCTTTATTAATACTGTGAATCTCTCACTGCTGCTGCTGCTGCTGCTGCCACTGCCTCTGCTGCACACACTGCAGATGTATTAGGGATGTTAGTGGGAATTTGATTTAATTGACTCTGCCTACCTCGGTCTCATTAAGCCAGAGCTGGATTTCACTGGTCAGCACTTCAGGCCCTCACACAGCTTGCTGGACTGCCAGCGAGGTGAGGCTGCTGTGGGCGGCTGGATTCCAGCTGCTGCTGGAGGTGGGAAAGCTAATTAGCGAAAGGACTTTCCCATCCCTGCTCTAGGTTTCTGAACCTTTAATATTAGATGCTGAAATAAACAAAGCATAGGACTGCAGTTAGACTTCAGGCAGCTTGCACTTGATCCTATTCCGATATGGGAAAGTGCCCCGAAACCCAGTAATATCTGTAAAGGAGAAAGCCCTTGCAAATCATTTTTAACTCAGAGCTCAAGTCCCGGTGGAGATATGGAGAATTTCAGTCACGTTGCTTCTGGCTTTCTCCAGGCAGAGAATCCTTTTAAAGAGTAAAACACCATAAGGGACTTGCTAAACTTCAAATACTAATTCGGTTTGCTTTATAGAAAATGCCCACCTTTGGGATATGCAATAAGAAAAAAGACATGCATACAGAGACATTGCAATTGATACACTCTTGAAAATGAGGCAAAAGCCTGATCCCAGGTGTTCATGAAGTATTAAATGGGAGAAGATCATTCTTCCAGAATCCTTTATCATTATGGAAAATTCTGCATTCTGCTAGAAAATACCTTAGTGTTTGATTATGCAGCTCTGGAAACATACTGTCCTGTTTAATTATATAAACCATTCTGATTTCAAGGACCCTTCTTTGTTTCCCCCTGCTTCTTTTCTGCACTGATTTTCTGCCAGGACATTCTATGTAAGACAAAGTGATGGCAGTAGAGTCACTAGTTTGCCATTGTGCTTCCCTCCTACATGTTTGAGAAGAAAAGGAAAATGCGTTCACCCAAGAGTCAGTATTTCTATCATTACGAGGCCATCTGCTTTAACTTAAGCATAGCCCAAATATATTTAAGAATATGTCAGTACACCACTAGACTACCATTTATGTCTTGCTTGCCTTCCCCATGCCACTGCAGTGAGAAAATTGAAGAACAGAGCAGTCAGAATACACCTCATGCTAAAAATTGTTATGTTAGGTTGATTCCTATGGAAGTTAAAAGAGATAGTAAATTAAAGATGCCAAATCACTGGCTGAGGCAAGTCATACACACACTGAAGAGACTATAATACTAAATACATGTGATTATGGTTTTTCCATCACTGGGATGTAGCATGAACTTGTGACTTTTGTCTCCTACTTTCTTTAAAGAACTATTTCATTGGCACAAGTACATAGAAATGTCAAGTCAGCTGGGGAACTGAAGGTATGCATTTACGCATGCTTCTAGGTTGAGGGTTGGAAGAAACAACAAAATAACCCCTTTTATTTCTGTGACATGCTCTGATTTTAACACTCACATGATTCATTCTTCCATCTCTCAGACACTTGCCCTTAAGATAAATAGATCATCTAAATCTCTGAATCTGTATCATGATCAGGTTTGAATTATGATATTTATCTTATTTGTCTGATTGACATTTCAAGGTCATTTTATCAAAACAAAGCACCCAACTAAACAGAAAAATAAACTTAAGAATCATAAATTAAGCCATAACACATACCACATTAAGTCACTTCTTACCTCTTCTTTCTTTTGTAACAGTAAAGAGAATTTTTTATTTTATTTTATTTTATTTTATTTTTGGCTTATAAAAGGGCATTTGTGAAAACAAACAAAAATCAAAACAAAAAAAATCAAATAGAATATTTCATTTAGTTATTAAAAACAACATAACAGAACACCTTGTTTTTTTCTGAAAACAATCTAAGAATAGCCTAGACTTTAAACTGTTGCCATAGAAATATATTCCTGTATGCACTGTAGCCCCTTGCATGCCATTGCAAGAAGACTAAATGGAATTTTAGACACAAACTGATAAAATTTGAAATCAGTACCAATAGGTAATACATATTGTTTTGAGAAAAGCCTGCTGATGAATTTGCACAGGGAGACATAATACCTTACTTTATTTCAATTATTGATTCTATCATGATATTTTTTAACTTTATTGCAGTTGCACTGAACGTTTAACATGCTTGTAAACTAGGATGATGCAAACTGAAGAAGTATTTTTTGAGGGATCAGACTTTATTTGATAGAGAAGAAAAGGCTCTATGTAGCTTTTATTCAGGTAGAGAAGTCATTACATTCAAAAGGTGAACATTTCACAATTTCTTAAGCTGGTGGCAAAAGTCACTAGGGGAACATTAGGACAGCAAGAAACCACAGTCTCTAGCCTCCATTACCTATGGAATGTTTTCTGGGTCTCCCAAATATAAAAGCCTCTTCCCAGTGACAGTTAGCTCTTAGTAAAGAGGCAAACTCTTTTCCTGTTTTTTTTTTTTTGTTTTTTTTTTGTTTTTTTCCAGCGTCTTGCCAGTTGCAAAGAAAATCTAAGCAGGATTTTGTGCAATAATTCAATGTAGTTGTTTGTTGTATTTTAATCAGTCAAAATAGTTTCCACTATATTTTTATTCAATTGTCGGCCAGAGGGAGCAGTCTTTGATGATTAGGAACATCAGCAATTTTTTTTTTATTTTTTTTTTTTTTAGAAAAGTTTAGACAATTTATTTGACTGCAACTTATTTCATGTGTTTGTGTAGTTCAGATTTACAGGATTGTGTGATTTGTGGCACAATAATTTCAGTGCAATGGGTAGGACTTTTGAGCTGGTTAATATATGAATACCTCTTTTCTTGGGATTTGGGAACAAATCAGAAAGTGAAGAATTAATGGTTTGTATTCGTAAGTTACCATTGCCCTAAATTACCTAGATATTTATATAATGTTTAAAGTACTCTGACCTGTATTATCAGTATGGAGATGACTGATGAAAATTACAGGAATCTTCTTTGTTATCCTCACTTTTTCCCAAACATAGGAATATTAGTGTCAGAGAAAATGTAGACTAAAAATTCTGCAAGTACTCTGTTTTATTACATTCTATTTATTATGATTATGTCTATCAGTGGTAGTTTAATGCGTAAACTTGTAACATATGATATTTGAGATAATTGTCTGATACTTTCAGAAAAAGTTGTCATATTATCTCATGTTTGGGGAAATATAAATGAAATTAATCAGTATTACTTCTCCAAGATTAATTATTGCGTCAATTGATATATTATCTGCTGAGTGGTTTCATTTATTCAGTAGTTTCTGAATTAGTTTCTGTTTATACTTCTTAAATACATCCTTCAGTTTTGTGACAGAGGAGCAAAGTCAGTAGAAATTCACCTGAAGAAACAGCATTTTCCTATATGGACCACTTGAAAGTTGACTGTAAGTTCACAATAAATGGAAGAATAGAGAGAAATAACTCATTTCAGAAATAGTGATTTGCCTCTAAAAGAACAAGTGCTTTAAGTGCCATTGTTTTCGCATTATTAGTGGGATAAAGTGTTATACCATTTTAATCAAAAAACATTGGTGGTGCCAGAAGTTTTTCTCCAACTTCCTCCTTTCCCATTATATAGTAATATTGATTCTCCTCAAAAGTTTCCAACTGAGTCACCATTAAAAAAAATAAAAATCTTAGCTGTTGATGTATTTTGTTGAAGTCATGACTGTTCAAACACACTGCTCAAGCTTAGGTCTCAAAGCAGATATGTCTAAGCATGTGTTGTCATGCTTAGTTTATATTATTGTTTCATTCCTGAATCACTTGGAAGTGAAGAGTTTAGCAAACAAAATGTGTTAAGGTATTACTAGGGGAAAAATAAAAAGAATGGGAAAATATCTGCGTTTTCCTTTGAATGAGAATTTAGATTGTAAAGGAAGGCTGGGAAGTCGTAGTGAAATCTATGCAAAACTGTGGGAAAGGTAGTGCAAATGAGTTACAAAGAAATTGAGAAGCAATATAGTCTGGTAGAAAAAAAAATAGGGAATGTTATTTGTTTTGTAGATTGCTTTATGACTTATAGTGTGGGTGGTATTTATCTCACCTTGTCTGATATGCTTCACTGAGTTGCCTACGTATAAATCAGTAGCTTCCCTCAGAGGTCATGGAGTACCTTAGACATGTGCATGAGGCTGGTAGATACTACATAAGGCCTTTGATTCATATATTTCTGGAGTGGCAACTGAATCCTGGGTGGGGTATATTGGAGCATATAAAATAGGAGTAGCCACTCGTGGGAAGAAATGAGCTGAGCTGAGCTGAGCTGTGGAGGTATACTGAGAGGCTCATGACCTGGTTCGTTTGGCTCACATAAGTCATTTGAAATACTTCAGTAGTTGATCTTTCTGCATGTTTCTGAAAGAAAAGACTCAAGGTTTGTAGAAGACAATCAACTGTTGACCACAAAAGACAATTTAAAGTATCATCAAAAGCCCTATGAATGGGCAAAGCAGTTACATTCTAAAAACAGTAATTCAGTTATATTCATCTGCACTGTAGATGATTAAATGAATGTTTGAATTAAATAAAATACAAAATTACTAAATACATATCACAAAATCAATACAAAATTCATGATATCAGAGATGGTTAATATGTTTATTTTTTTCATGTAATCACTTAAATTTATAGAGTATTAATTGGATCAATTGTACTCCACATCTATTTTCTTATTTTCCATGAGAATAACCTTGCAGAGAAACACCTGGGGTTCCTGGTAGATGAAAAACTTAACATGAGCCAGCAGTGTGCTCTTGCAGCTTGGAAAGTGAATGGTTTCCTGGGCTCCATCAGAAGAGGGGTGGCCAGCAGGGACAGGGAGATGATTGCCCCTTTCTACTCTACCCTCATGAGGGCCCATCTGGAGTACTGTGTCCAGGTTTGAATCCCCCAGTACAAAAAAGACAGAGAGCTTTTGGAGAGGGTCCAGAGGAGAGCCACAAAATGATCAGGGGACTGCAGCACCTCCCCTATGAGAACAGGCAAAAGGAACTGTGCATATTCATCCTGGAGAAAAGAAGGCTGCAGGGTAACCTAATTGCAGCCTTTCAGTACCTAAGGGGAGTCTATAGACAGGAAGGGAGTCAACTCTTTGAAAGGGTAGATAATAGCAGGACAAGAAGGAATGGTTTTAAGTTTAGCGAGGAAAGATTTAGGTTGGATGTCAGGGGGAAGTTCTTTACCAAGAGAATGGTGAGGTGCTGGAACAGGCTGCCCAGAGACATTGTGGATGCCTCATCCCTGGAGGTTGTTCAAGGCCAGATTGGACGGGGTGCTGGGCAGCCTGGTCTAGTATTAAATGTGGAGGTTGGTGGCCCTGCCTGCTGCAGGGAGATAGGAGCTTGGTGATCCTTGAAGTCAAATCCAACCCAAGTCATTCTATATTCTGTGATTCTATGATAATCTTTGATTTTATTTTTGACTTTTAAAATTACTAGCTCTTTGTCTTGGATACTGTATTCTAATGGTTGCTTTTGGATGAGACAGACTCCTATTTCTCCTGGTGCCTTCAGAAATTGTTGTATTACATAATAACTGCAATAGAAACATCATGAAGTAATAGAAGGCTCAGGAAACAAATATAAAACAAAAACAGGAACAGCAAAAAAACCTGAGAGTTATTACTGTTCCTGTAATAGTAAATAACTGGTTCTTGGGTCAAGCTTGAAATATAAATAAGGAATACAATACTCCAGGGTTATAGTCATTACTGAAGTCATTAAGAAGATTATAGCAAGAGATAAATGCTTGCAATGGATGAGAAAATATAGCAGTAAGTGTTTCAGAAACAAATTCTGAAAAGAAAGTGCTAAACTGCAAGTGGTTTTTCACAGGAGGTTTGTAATGAGAAAAATATAATTTAATTACGGACACACTGTAACAACCTATTCACATGAGATATCTTAAAAAGAATACAGATGCTAGGAAAGATTTAAGGGCAGGATCTAGAAGATGTGGGTAGACCCCAGAGTCCATTAGTCATATTGTAAGTTCCCCAGTACCCAGTCAGTATTGTGTAACAGGTACTCTGCAAATAATAGGAACTTTCAGGGAAAAGGGGTGAAACAGATTGGGTAGAAATGATGAGAATGAAACCATGAAACAGGTGGGTTTTTTTTTTTGTTTGTTTTTTCTTTTTCTTTTTCTTCCTCCCCCTCCCCCTCCGCAATTATATCTTGGGAACTGAATGTTTCAAAACTAGTTACAGTGGTTATAAACATTGTTTTATCATGTGTTTTTGTGTCTTTATTGCTATTATCTACTCAAAATAAAATATTTCACCAATTCTCTGTTAAGGTAGGAAAGATTATGGTAGTTGAAAAATAAATGCAAGTAAAAAGATTTTTTGATTTTACCTCCTGCAGCATCCTTGTAGATAAGCATGGGAAGTGTGGGCTAGTGCTGGCAATGGCATCCATAATGCTTGGCTGGGGGACACCTCTAGACAACTGAAATACGGAGAATTTTCTAATTTTGGGGGGGAGTTCATTTTGACTATTTCTTAATCTTAGATCCCTATCAGAAATTGAGCTCTTCCTTATGGCACCTTGAATGCTAGTGAATATTAATATTAATAAGAGTAAAAATAATAAAGATATCGTTCTGGTTAAAAGGTCCTCCTCTTTTTTTTTTTTTTTTTTTTTTTTTTAAGTAACTTTAGATGCATATATCCTATTAGAAAAAGAAAAATAACAGCATT